AAAACCTCATTTAAATTTTTTGGATATCTTTACTGGTTTAGCGGGAATACGGTTTGAAAGTTCTACTATGCTGCTGCACGAAATAAGGTGTGAGCCACTGTATATATATGATGTATATATGTAAATTCAACTAGCTCTCTTATTTATTTTAGAGTTTTCTCTTTTTAAATCAGCTTTTTCGGTTTGCAAATTTTTGCTACATTTTACATTTAACATTTTCGCTACAATTCTTTTAGTTTTTTTTTTTTCTTTTCATTTAATATTGTCCTTGTTTAATTTAGTTTCTTTTATTGATAAGCACATTTAAATTGAACAGTTTTTGTGAGCGCATCGGTTGTAGATTTATATTTGTTTGTATTTTTAGTTTTTGTTTATATCTAAAACAATATTTTGTTCCTTTGAAAATATTTCTTATTAATATTTTTATTTATTCATTTTTTTTCTTTGTCAAATCAAAATAAGAAACTTAAAAAACACGCATAGGCCCATTTCACTTGTAAGCATAGCAATTGTAACTAATATAAGTGTATATATATGTATATATGTATACGCATACACATACAGGTATGTAGGGTACGACATATGTGTGTGTGGGTTGATTGTGCTTAAGTTTATCAATACTAAAGTAGATGTACTTCTTGACATGCTGATCCGTTATAAATATATGTAGTATATATGTATATGCATGTATGTATGTATATAACATATACCACTGGCCAATGCTAAGCATTATTACATCTATATATATACTATATATATAGATACATATATATGTATATATTTATTTATATATTTTTAGACTAAATATACATAAAGCTAAGCGTTGGTTTCTGTTGGTTTTACTATTATTTGTTTCTTCCTTCACAGGGTATAGCCCAGATCCTTAGCATGTTCATAAATGGGCAATGAAAGTAAAGTATATTTAAGGAATTTTCTTGGGAACAGTGTCTCCAAAGCTAACGAAACCAAATGCAAAACTGTAAAGGCAAACAGTAAATGAGAATACATGCAAACTACATAGAATGCGTGTCAAATACATATTTAAATGATCTTAGGTATAAGCAATATATGTAGTACTCTTGCGTGTGTGTGTGTGTGTCTAATATATCTAAGCGTGTCACACACACATACATATATGTATATATATCTGTATAAACACTTGCATATGTTTTGTATAAATTTTTAGACACCATCACATCTGCTTAAAGCTAAAGCTACATCATATATATAGATATATATCCACAAATATATATCTATATATTCTTTCGATATATGTATATTTTGTTGTATATATATTTCACTTAGCTTTATTTCCTTTTTAAAGTATTTTCGTGTGCCTTGTGTAATATGCGCTTCATTTTTTTTTTGTCATCATTTTCATCTCTTAGGCTTAAAGTAGTACTAGGTATACTTGAATACTCTGATTTTTCTTTTTGTAAACTGATTGTACAAAACATGCATATATATTATATATTTTGTCTAATGCTATATACTCATCGTATTATTATAGATTATACACATACACACATCGATATAGTATGATATATATGTTTTATAGTCGTAATACTCGTAATACTCATCTAAAGCATTTGTCAACAAGTTTTAGCTAGAAATGATAGTTTAACTAGGAAATCAAATATCAAGTTGATTTGTTTGTTCGTTTAAGCCTGAAACAACCAATTTTGAGTCTTTAGTTACGCATTTTTACTCTCATATAGCTACATATCGATATAAATGTATATGTGTGTGTATATAATAGTACTAGATGGTATAGGCATAGGCATAGCATAGGACCAGGCGCCTAAGCGAAACTGAATTTCAACTAAGACCAAAAACTTTTATTTATTGATTGTTTTGTTTTTGTTTTTTTTTTTTTTCTCTCGTTCTTTCTTCCTTCTCTCATAACTAAAAAGCAACTACTATATACTTGACATATATATATATATATAATATATATTTTTATTCAAGAGAGAGTTCTTCTTGCTTGGCAAAATAACAGAAAAACAACAAAAAACAAATAAATATATTTAACATTTAGTTTTGTATATAGCTATAAATTTTAGATTTTCTTTACATTTTTAAAAAGCATGTATACTTCACTCTCTCTCTCTTTTTCTAACACTCTCTAGCTCTGTCTCTTTTTGTGTAAATAGTACATCAATTTTAGCCTTCAATATATATGCATGTATAATACATATAAATGTATATATAGATATATATATATATATATAGTTGAGTATTTCCCTTTTTTTCCACATTCAATTTCATTATTTTTTGTGTTTTGTTTAAAGCTGAAACCCACGCATTGTAGTTAAGTATTTTCATGACTTTTGCTATAACTAGGTATAGTGCTTATAGAGAAGTTTTTCTATTACATTTAAGAACAGCTACATTTAAGTTTTAGGTGTCGTATCTCTTTCCTCTTATTGTCCCTAGCACATTTGATCAACTGAAGGATCATCTCAAATGCTTTAGATCAGCAAATTTTTGTTTGTTTCTTCTTCTTTGGTATTGTCCGTAGTTTTCTTTTTTTCTTTCTTTCACTAATCTCTAAGTATTACATAGTTATTATAATATTTGTGCTTAGTTTGTAACTCTTCGTTTTTCTTGGCGGCAATCATACATTTTTGTTTACAGTTAGATTTTCTTTCTAGTAGTTATACAGACACCAAAGTGTTTACATTTATCTTAAGCTAAAGCTGTGTAGTGTTTTCTTTAAATATATATGTAGGTATGTATATCTCTTTAGTTTCATATTTTATTGTCCACAATTGTTTACTTTTTCTTAGACACATTGATACACAGGGATTATGTTTGGGAATATGTATTATATATATTTTTTCTATATATATATATATGTATTTATTCATTGACATTTCGTTTTTGATTTTCGAATTCTGATTTCTGACTTCGGATTTCATAGAAAACTCTGTGTAAAAAAATTGACAAATAAATTCGGCAAAAATTGACATTACGCTTATGTTGCCCCAGATTTAAATTGATTTCGATTGGAATCATTGAATGCTGTTTCAAAATACCAGCTATACCTCAAGTTCAGTAGCAAAATAGATATATTTATATATATGTCCATATATATATATATAAACATGTATATATGTGTGTGTGTCTGTGTGTCGAGCACAAGAGCTTTTCGGCTTTGTACTTTGTGCAAACGTTTCAAGGATATGCTGTATTCAAAGATCATAATATGGCCATTTCTCTATATAGGCTAGGTATACATATGTATTTAGTGGTTTTACAATTTCGCTCTGTTCGCTTACTTACGCTCCTCACTGTCGTAGAAGTCAATGCCCTTCGGCTTGCCATTGTGATAGTTGAAGGGTTTGCGCTTCCTCACCGGACCCGTTGTCATTTTCGAGAGTATATCGGGTCCGCCCGGATGCAGATCGTATTTTTGCACTGGATCCTCGTTGGCTGGACGTGAATATTTCTGGATTTGTTCGTTGATCCATGGCACATACTTGATGACATTCGCATAGACACCGGGTAGCTTGGGATGGGCGCACATGATGCCCCACGAGACGATGCCGCCGACAAACCAACGATCCTTTTCGCCAGGATACGGGCACAGCAGAGGTCCGCCCGAATCGCCCTTTAGAAAGATAGTTCATATAGATATATTTGAGATATCGATAAAGTTCTATCTACATATATATATCGCATATCTTCTATAGAGTTGCTCACCTGACAGGCATCCTTGCCTCCGTCATCGTAGCCCGCACAGACCATGCCCTCGGATACAGTTAGATTGTCCAGCCATTCGTCGCATTGATTGCGCGTTATGATGGGCACCTGCACCTCATTGACTATGAACTCGTAGGTGGACTTGGCTGCAAGAATAGACATGTAACTCAGAGAGAGAGAGACAGGGAGAGGGCGAGTCTAATCACGTACGATCTTTGTCCTCGCGCTTGCCCCAGCCAATGACGGTGCACAGCTGTTCGGGTCGCAGGCTCTTGATGCTGGGCGGCGGCAGGCAGACGGGCAGCAGATGCTCATGGAAAGACACACGCGTGGCCAGCTGTAGAAGGAAAAGCATAGACTCATTAATAAGAGAGATCAGGAAAATCTTAGGTAACCCACCTGAAAGAGGGCTATGTCATTGTCATGGGCTATGGCCATATTGTACTGCGGATGCGGTATGACCGTTCTGACCTTGACCTTTTGGCCCGTATAGGTGAATGAATTGCGACGCGTAACGCCCAGCTGTATGGTCCAATCCTCCAAGTCGATAACCGTATGACTATCAATGAAGAGGAGTTACTTATAGTAAAACTACATTCATATAAACCAAGGTTTAGTCCGAGCTTACTTGCCCACACAGTGGGAGGCGGTGAGCACCCACTGATCGGATATGAGCACGCCTGCACAGTAGAACACCTTCTCGGGTCCGCCCAGGATGGCAGCCAGGAAGGGCCAGTTGCCGGGATTGGCCTGAGAGCCGCCGATGATGCGTCTGGAGGGCTTGTGTCGCCCACGCTTGACCTTGCCGCACTCTACGGAACGCAGAATGAGATTAGATCTAGATTTACGTGTTAGTCCGCAGTTAAACCCACCGAAATTGGAACAGGTCAGCTCAGCTATGGGATAATCCTCTGTCTGGCGGCAGTTGGCGAATTCCTGCATCAGCGTCGAGCGACGTTTGGCATACAGCTTCCAGATGTCCGTGGAGACATTCACCGAGGCCAGCAGCGGACGATGCGTGCGCTGGGTCACCACGCTGGTGGCATTCACAGCCGAATAGCCCAAGATGGAGCAGACAGCGCTGGGCGAGACGGCGCGATCCCAGTTCTTCACACAGGCTGGCATCCACTGGCGCTTGTTCATGCGAAAGACCTCCAAGACGCCCGAGCCCACGTCGCCATTGCGCTCACTCAGACGCACTGCAGCACAAGATAAAGATGATATTAGGGAAAAGATATTAAGGATATGAATTGCAGTCCAAGTACATACAACAATTGCGTTCGTCCTGTGCGTAGGGACAATCGATGACGCCGTCACAAATGTGATCGATGCTAATGCAACGCTCGTCTCCACAATAGATTTCGCCCTCGTGACAGCGCGAACAGTTGCCCTCGTCCTCCTGGTCCATGCAGTCCAGGTGGCCATCGCAAACGTACTCCTTGGGCAGGCAGCGGCTGGTGTCGCACTGGAAGCCATCGCATTTGGGATTCGCTGACGATACCATCACCTCGCGCACCTCATCCAAGCCGACGCAGTCCTCGGCGCTGGAAAAGTCCTTGAACAGCTTGCAATTCAAATACTCCGGCAGACTCAAGCCAAAAACGTCAAAGAAGAAGCCACAGCGACGCATTGTTTCCGTGCAGAGCGTCTTACAGGGCGGCACAGCGGCGCTGCAGGCGGAACGAGGATGTGTTAGATGGGCTCATGGACACTTACATAGATGCTCGATAGAGAGATCCACTTACCCCGTCTGTCCACACTTGGGCACGAAGAGCGTGCAGAGGAAGAGCGAGACCAGTTCGTAGCAGCGCACATCGACCAAGGCCTCAAAGGAGTCCAGATCCTGCGAATGGGATTATTTACTGCATTGACTGAACATTGGGCGCATATTTACCACTTGCGTCTCCAGCTGGCCAAAGTGTCCAATGTAATTGGGGAACACGGTGTAATTGTAGGGTATCTGCGAGCCCTGGCAGAACTTGATGATGATGGGCAGACAGGTGCCCGGCGCTGGGTTCTTGCCAAAGTTCGATGTATCCTCCACATGGATGGTGTTGATGATCGTCTTATTGACGAACTTAATTGTCGGATACGCATTGAAGTAGGCAGCCAAGCCGCCGGCGATGGCCAGCAGGGCGAAGGCATTGATCAGGATTTGGAATAGGCGAAACTTCAAGCGGCCATTGGTGATGTAAGGATTCGAGCTCTTGCGACGATTGATGATCTGAGGAAGAGAGTGAGACAGAGAGAGAGAGAGAGAGAGAGAGTGAGTAAGAGGTAGCATTAGTGGGCGTGCATCTGCCTTACCTGATGCTGCAAGGACATGGTGTGCGGTGCTCCGTTCTGGAAGCGCACGATGGTTTGTAGGCTGCTGGGCGTGGCGCTGGCGCACTTGTTGAGCGGCGACAGCGTCTGTGGCGGCTCCAGCTCCTCAATGGGCTCGTGCTGCACGCCCTGGCGACACACAATGGGCGCCGGGGCGCTGCACAGCCGCTTGGCGGACAACGAGGGCAGCAGCGGCGCCTCCATCAGCTTGGAATTGTAGCCCGGACTGGAGGTCTGACTGAAACTGTCGCTGGATATGGTCGAGTCCTGGCGGAAATTCATCTTGCCACGCATCGGCGTCGCCTGCTGCTGCTGCTGCTGCTGCTGTGGCTGACTGCTGCCGGAGCCAATGCCAAATCGTGAGGGCACCAAATCCATCAGCGGCTGTCGCTGCACCACACTGGGCGCCTGGCTCTTGCGCGCCGTCTGGGTGGAGGCGAGCAGCGGCGTCTCCATCAGCTTCGAGTTGTAGCCGGGACTGGAGCTGATCGAGTAGCTGTCGCTGGACAGCGTCGAGTCCTGCCGCTGCTGCAGCTTGGGATAGACAATGGGCGGCGGCTTCTTGCGCGTCAGCTTGTTGCGCACGGTCAGCGGTGGCGGTGCCGCCGATGGTGTCTGTGCTGCCTGCGGTGTGCCCGCCTGATGCACCTTGGCCACATTGTCCATGCACTCGAATGCGCTCAGATTGCGCAACGGCGGCTCCGGCGGACCTGGACGTTTCACTTGATTGTTGGCTGCGCTGGCGGCCACCGCGACGGCCGCCTCGGCGCCCGAACTAGATGACATGGTGGCGCTGGATATGGTGCTGGAGCCGCTGCCAGCGGACGAAGTGGAGGCCGAGGCGGAGACGCTGCTGCTGCTTGGCTCCTTGCCGCTGTCGCTGCTCGAGTTG